TGTAGTAGCAGGTCGACCCTCCCCCACACGCGCGATGTGATAGCGCCAAGGCGTGCCATACCCCAGGCCGACCCTTTTGGACCATAAGCGCGCGTGACGCCCAGTTTCCCGATATTTTTCATAAGAGGAGACATTTTATCGGCAAGTCAGGCGCAAAAGTGTGAAAGTTCGATAATTTAATCCTAAAAACGCTTTTATTCTTACCGATTATTGGCGGTCATATTATCGGTGACGCGGACCAGCGGGCGCCGCCAGCGCGAGATTACCTGCGGAGAAAAACGTAAAACGATAGTCATGTCGTTGGTTAGGACGGGGAAACCTGCGGCACCGTTGGGGTCCAGCACATCACATGTGGAGAGGGGGGTACAAATATCATGGCCACCTCAGTCGAAAGTTGCCGACAGGGGTTTTGTAGATCAAATTGCCCTTTTTAGGTGGCTGTCAAGTCGACCAGGGGGGGGGGGGGTCACTCTCCCCCCTCTCGCGCCTGTGCCTCAGTAGGTTTACTAGAAACACCACCGAGCGGAGCTATGAGGACCCCATAATACATTCCTTTATACTATGGGGTAGGCTAACGTAAGGGTGTTCGGTAGTATCTTGATGGGTGCCATTATACTGGTAGCCCCCCCCCCCCCCCCCCCTTAATGGAGTGCAGATCACCATTACGTACAAAGTGTATCGCGTTCTCATCGACTACTAGTACTAATCGTCTGCTCGTCGACTTGCACCCAGACCGGACGCATCCTTACGCGCCGAGCGTCTCGGCTTTGCGACACGGGACGCTGACCCTGCTTCTCACGAGGGTTAACGATACTCGAATGGCTGTTGCAGAAATCTGAGTCGAGCCGCTCGCCGCTGGCAAAAAGTGTGAAGAGGCGCGGCGCGGACTGTGGGAACGTGGATCGTATGGTGAATCGCGACGAACGCCGCTGAGCGCCGAGGGAAAGGGGGATTGACTGCGACGCGACACCGGGCATTGGCCAATCATGCCAAAAAGGGGCGAAATAGATGCGCGGGAGATGTGTTGCTTTTGCAAACTGGGAAACATAAGTAATATCGTGTGCACTGGTAAATTCCTACAAAGCATTCGCTTTGCAGAGCTGCGAAGTATTTTACTCCTTTGTAACTACGAAGTGACACTTTGCAATTGCAAAGCGATGCTTTGCAGCGTTTTCATTGCTTCGCAATTGCAAAGCATCACTTTGTAATTGCGAAGTAAATGCTTCGTAGTTACAAAGGAGCAAAATACTTCGCAGGAATTTAACAGTGTGTCACGTATGGACTTATGAGCGTCGTATGCCCTAAGCCTCATTGAAGTTGAAGGCCGCGGGCGTCGGGAGTCGGCGTGGCCGCGCCGTACCTCCGCGACAATGACTGTCAGTGCCAGGGGTCGCTCCCACGGCGCGTGGTCAACTGCGGGCATGGCCTGGGCGCCTCGCTCGTACTTGGTCAACTGCGGGCAAAGCCTCTTTTGACAGCTGGTTCCGGGAAGCCCGGGGCGCCCGGAGTGCCGACTGCGGGCACGGGAGTGCTGGGTTGCCTACCCTGCCGGCGCTCTCTGCCGCTTCCCGCGCCGCGCACCCAGCCTGCCGGAGTTCCGACGGCACACTGAGTGCACACGCGTCATTAGCGCAACTTAACACGTCGCTTGTGGCATGACCACTATGTGGTCACGCTCCCCATGTAAAATCATAGGCACCAAAAATGAGCAGCACGGAATGTGTTAATTCTTAAAGTCAGGGGTCGAGGTCCTATGACAGCGTTGCGCGGAGCGATAGCGAAGCGCAACGCTGCATTAATAATACCATTACTGATTTTATGTATTGAGTTAGGATTGTTAGTTGTGGTTTGCTTCTTATTATTTCAAATAGACACTTGGATGCACAGATGATAGTCTAATAGTATCATTACTAATTAACTGTATTTAGTTAGGTTTGTTAGTTTTGGTTTGCTTCTTTTTATTTTCAAAGAAACACTCAGTTGCATACACTGGTAAAATATGTGTGCAGAATTTGCACACCAACGTGTGCAAGTTATGACCTTGCACATTACATTCGGACCCGCTAGTCGCGCAAGTACAGCCGAGAGCGGCAGAGAGCGCCGGCGGGGTAGGCAACCCAGCACTCCCGTGCCCGCAGTCGGCACTCCGGGCAAGCCGGCGCGCGGGGCTCGGCTTCCCGGAACCCTCGTCAAAAGAGGCTTTGCCCGCAGTTGACCAAGTACGAGCGAGGGGCCCAGGCCATGCCCGCAGTTGACACAACGCCGCTCCCACCCCACCCGCGTCCCGCCCGTCAAGCCGGCTGTCAATACCGGCTCTGCGCGTGGGACTCGCAGAGGGCGCAAGCCCGGGGCGCAAGCGCGGGGCGCAAGCGCGGGGCGATGGAAGCCCGCGTCAACATCGCGCTGCCAAAAAGTAATAATTTGCTGAAGAAAAAAGTTCGTGTCACCGTGTTTTATGAAGAGTTAAGCCCTCCTCACAATAAGGAACGTGCCGCGCTAGTCCTGGAATTTCAACGAAAGCGCGCCCGCTCCTCGCGTTCTGCGTCATGCCTCACATTACCCTAATGCGAGACAGTGTAGCAAGGGCGCCAGGCCAGAGGAACAAAAGCAAGTATGACGTGACAAATGTTTTACAATGCCATGTCGTCTAAAGACGACCCACCCCACGGCCGTTTGGAGTGGCTGGAGTGGGAGCGAGTGGGCGTCGACATGACAGGCGCGTTGACACCGCCCCGCACTGTACACAGTGCGCACCCTCTCGTGTAAACTGTCAGCTGACTAGAAGCATGCAGCTAGTCGAGCCGGTAGGGAGAGAGGGGGCGGGGGGGCTGGCGGGGTAGAGAAAGGCGAGAAGGGCGAGAAGCACCCCAGTCCCCGGCCGGGGCCGGCCCCGCGGGTGGAGACAAGAGGGTGGGACTGCTGCTGTGCGGAGCGCTCCGCCCGGCGGGGCCCCGGCTGGCCAGGGCTATATACACTGCGTTAGCAATCGATCCCAGCAGCACGGGGCGCCCCCGTACCCGTGCGGGCCTGCGACGGACACGCTCGTTGACACGTCCTCGGACGCGCGTCCTCGGCAAACGTACCAGCAGTGGCCCGTCGCGTCGAGCGGCCGCGGTCACAGCGCGCGGTCGAGGCACTGCAGCAGCCTCATGGTGGTGACAGGCCCGGCGGCAGTCCTGACCGCCGTCGTGCTGACCGCCCGCCGCTGCGGTGGCCACCGGTGTGCTCCCGCACACTCACACACACGCACACGCACACACGCAGCGGGGCGGTCGACCGCGTCGGCACAGAGAAATAATTATCAGCCGCGCTCTCGCGTGATGGCGCACCGCACCGCGCGCGGGGGGCTCGGAGCGCGGCGGCGGCGTGGCGTCGCGGCGGGGGCGTCGTGACTCGGCTAGGCCTGAGGAGCGCCCCCCATGGACCGGCGCTACCGCCCTACCCTGCCCTCCGCGGGGCCTCACTGCCCGAGAGCCGAGAGCGAAGCCAGAGCCAACAGCGCGAGCGAGCGCCCCCAGCCCGGCCCTCGCCGCCCCGGCCCGCCCCGGCCCCGCCGGCCATGGCGGCGGCGCGGGCGGCGCCCTCCCCTTTGCGCAGGGGGATGGGGGATGGCTCCCCGAGTTCCGGCCACCCCCGGCGGAGGGCAGCACTCGGCGCCCGACCCGCGCCCCGACCCCTTCCATGCGACTGTGTGGGGAATGACTGGCGGGCGCTGGGCATGGCATGCATGCTGCTTGTTGACACAAGTCACCCAAAATGTCCTCTGTCCTCGCCACTTCATTAGTCTGTCCTTAACTGCACGCCGCCCCAATCGGATCGGCCCCCCCCCCCCCAATATAGTTTCGATCGAGGAGCAGTTGGCTGCCTAATTTTGTGTCACGTGATGCACGGTATCGTGAGTGTTCCGGCTCCTAAGAACAGATAGGTAGTGGTCACTCACTACCACAACTGACTATCTTTTATTTTCCGATACATCTGAGAGACGCGGTGTTGCTTTCACTCCGGGGAAGGTGATATTGTTTACCTTATTCACTTCGTGGATCTAACACTGCAGCTGCAGGACCCCCTTGTCGCTCTCTCCTCCTCCGGAACAGCCGCGCTGTGGGAGGGCGATCGGACAGGTCCTCGGATTGTCCGACCCGCCCGACCATCGGTGCTTATCTCGAATACAGTTCTCGAAATTTTCACCTTTTCCCTTCAAAAAATGTGAGCAACACACAAACATTTTGGGGATTGTATCCGAGATTGGCACCGGTGGCTCTTCGATTGCTTGCTCCCGCAACATCCACGAGGTCGGTCGCCCGGAGGGTAGGCCACCCATCCTACGCGCAAGGAAATATTCAAAACTCGCGCTCACCATTATTTGGTTCACTTGTAGGTAAAACGTAAATATTCCCATTGCAGGTAGTACGATTTCGGGAAAAGAATCAAACTTTAAAACCCTTTGAACCAGTAATACAGAATCAAATCGATAAGTTTGGGCTTTGTAATTTTGGTTTGTTTAAGGAAATTGATTGCTACATGAGTTAAATAAGTGAATGTTTGATCTGAAGAGGTGGTCAAACTGTAGACAAAAAGTGTGAATAATCACTAACCAGTACTACTATTGAAATTTATTGCATATCTTTGAAGCCATAATCTGGAAAACCATGAATGTTTCATCCAAAAGTTACTGTTTTTTTTAATATACTTTTATTCCTATAAGCCAAAGGCCAGTGCCGAGTCTGTGGTACCGGGGTACTTATTGCCCTTATCTAGTTGCCGCGTTGCGTTGCTTAAAGAAGAACAAAAAGTCGAACTGTGTGCAATGAAGGATTAATTAATTTAATAATTGCCGTTTCAAATACATTCCATAAGGAATAATATCAGAAATAATGTACCTTTTTTGTGCAGGTATTGAATTTCTAAAGCCGTGAATGAAGTTGCCTTGCTTGGCCTTTTCCTTCTGTGAATAAGCCCCGGCTAGCTTCTGCTCGTCGTGCGAACAAGGGTACGAGTGTGCGGAGTTGCGGACGACGCTAAGATCACATTGCGCCGTGTGTAGCGTAAGATATATTTCTGTTCCGTTTTTCTCTTCTAACAGCAAGGACGCCAAAGCGTTCAATTCAAAATGACATCTCTAATTTCTTCGAGAATTGTTAGTTCATCTGGTAAGTGTTTTCTTTGATATGGTGATGGTGATGCATTCTATAAGCACTCTCTGAATGCAGAAGTTCTACAATTATTTTCTCTATTATACACTGTACTGACGATGAGTTCACTCTGGATTTTATCTCTATTGAATTTATTTTCCTCCAAATTTTTGGAAATGTAGAGACTATTTGAGAATCAAGTGAATGTATTATTAGCATAGTTGCCTAACGGCCTTTCTAACCTATTGAAAAGCATTTTGGGAGTGCACCCCATTGTGTTTCGCCTATGATCTAAATCGTACGCCTGGTTCATTCATTTTCAGCACTGCATCACGTTTTTAAATCTGCTCTTAATTGCGGAGAGAGCAAGTGTTTGGTAAGCTGTGAATCATTCTGAGTTGTTGCATAATTTTCTGTTTTGTCGTGTTAACTTACATTTTGTTCAAAATACTTACTTTTCAGTATCCAAGTATTCGAGTCAGTCAATGGTACTTGCCCAACAGTTACAATCAACATAGATTCTATGCTGAAAAACAAGTTTACAAGAGAGATAAGCCACATTGTAATATTGGAACTATTGGACATGTTGATCATGGTAAAACAACCTTAACAGCTGCCATTACCAAAGGTATGTCATTACTCGCACACTTAAGATCTTTTTTTTTACATAATTCCATGCTAATCCCTTTTATTCTCTTTGAAGTCCTTTCTGAGAGGGAACTGGCGCGTGTAAAAAACTACGATGAAATTGATAATGCACCAGAGGAGCGTGCCAGAGGAATCACAATCAATGTCGCCCATGTGGAGTATGAGACCGAAAACCGTCACTATGGACACACAGATTGCCCTGGGCATGCAGATTACATTAAGGTGACAACATGAAGCTGTTGCTTTGCCAGTTAGCATTCCTATACATCAACCTACTATTTTTACTATCTCTTTGTGATTGTTCACAGAATATGATTACTGGTACCTCTCAAATGGATGGGGCCATTTTAGTTGTTGCTGCTACAGATGGTGTGATGCCTCAAACCAGAGAACATCTATTACTTGCTAAACAGATTGGTATTAACCACATTGTGGTGTTTATTAATAAGGTAAAAAGCTTTTAAAGTTCTCCATTTATTTATTTTTCCTTTTCAACTTTTCAGTATTTTTTCATTTTATTTCCATTTCCTTTTTTTATATAAGGATTTGATTGTTTGATGATCAGGTGACTGCACCATGTATAATCTATTGCAGGTTGATGTTACTGAAGCTGACATTTTGGATCTTGTTGAGATGGAGATTCGTGACCTTCTTACAGAGATGGGATTTGATGGTGATGGCACTGCTGTCATCAAGGGGTCTGCCCTCGCTGCCATGGAAGGGAAATCTCCAGAGATTGGTATGATTAGGATAGCTGCTTTAAGTTATGTTGTATCATCCATACTAGAAGACACTAAATTGAATATTTTTACATGTGTTCCTTCAGGCTCTGAAGCTATTGTAAAGCTTTTAGATGAATGTGATAGAGTTATCCCTCTACCTGAGCGTGATTTAGACAAGCCATTCTTGATGTCAATCGAGCAAACTTGCTCTATCCCTGGTAAATAAATTTCTTGTTTATTAGAATGACCAAAAATCATGATAGGTATTGGATTCGTCATTAACCCTGTTGTGTATTTTCCTTGAAGGTCGTGGTACAGTTGTGACAGGTCGCTTGGAGCATGGAACAATCAAGAAAGGAAATGAATGTGAAATTTTGGGCTATGGAAAAAAAGTTAAAAGTGTTATCACAGGTAAGAAGCGAATTTTAGTGTCTGCTAAATATTGACCTTTTTTATTCCAGTCAGTTCATATTTACTTAAATATGGTGTATTCTCCAATCATTGTGGTTCTCTGTGAACAGGCATTGAGATGTTCTGCAAGACATTAGAGGAGGCGCATGCTGGTGACCAATTAGGAGCTTTAATCAGAGGATTGAAGCGTGATGATGTAAGAAGAGGAATGATGGTTGCTAAGCCAGGTACACAGAAGCTGTCAGACTGTGTGGAAGCTCAGATTTACGTACTGAACAAAAAGGAAGGTGGACGTACAAAGCCCATAACAAATAGATTCAACTCGCAAATGTTCTCTAAAACATGGGACACATTAAATCAGCTTTATGTTTGCAACAAAGAACTGATCATGCCTGGAGAAGATGCAACGTAAGTTCACTTTGTCTACATTACCACTCATGTACCCACCCACCACTGTATCACACTTTCATTGCAAGGATGTAATTTTTTGTTAACTTTCCCAATTGTTTTGCAGTGTAAATCTTTGGTTTCCCAAAGGAATGGTTTGTGAACAGGGACAGCGATTCACAATCAGAGAAGGCTCAATAACAGTTGCTACAGGAGTAATTTCTAAAATCCTTCCTAATCTGACTCCTGAACAGAAGGAAACCATTCTGATGTCCAAGAAGCAGTTAGCAAAGAGACAAGAAGCCAGTAAAAAGGGGGCAAAAAAATGAGCCGCTTGTTTTTTTCTCAAATAATAAAGAGGACACTTGCATTTTTATCTTAAATTAAAAAGATTTCTACGAAATCCATCAGTTGTACACTTGGCTGCACGCACCCTATGCATCCACAGTGCAAGTGGGAAATCTTCAGTTTTCATTTCTAATGTTTCATACTCCTGAGTATTGAGTGGAAATCACCTCACCGTGAAAAATGTAGTCTATTTCCAACATGATGTACTCCATTTCCTGTTCAATTTTAAGCTAATATTGTGAAATGAACCTGAAAAATATTTTCTAGCCAGTGACTAAGCTCTCGGGTGTGTTAGGTGCATGCAAAATGTAGATGTAACTAAGCCCTCATTTAAAAATGTTATGGCTTTATATCAGGGCTGTATGATGTAGCAATGTTAGAGTTGACATTGTTTTCATATTAAAATATAAAATTTGAAACAAAAGTTTTTACTTTGCACAATTTCCTGAAGTGTCGGAACAATGAGGTGAATTTGTAGAAATTTAAAAGGGATTTAACACAGTTACGATTAATGAAAGTTGGATAAGGGTAGAAGAATATACATAAACTTTTTGGGGCTAAACATTTATCTTCATTTAGGTAACATACATACAGACAGGATTTATCGTAACTTGCAAGTAGGCAATTTTTGAACACTGTGTTCCAGGATCACTGGATCACGGTAAATCACAGTGCGAGATCATTACTTGAAAAGAACGCACAAGGTTAGAAGAATTAAGATGGCTGAACACCGCTACTTGACAGCATGTTGATTGCGTGAGGAACTGCAATTGGAGAAAAAAAATGTTGATATTGGTTCGCCCTCAATGTCTCATAATTATATTACTATATGAGAGGAGCGAGATCTTACCTAGCCTTATGATCGTGATGAGGACTCCAAACGAAACAAAACTGTTAATAACTCCCTCTCTGACTTTCCTTTTCTCCTCAGCCGGGTCACCACCTCTTCCCTGAATACGCAGCATTTTAAGTGAAGTTGAAGGTGTTACTTTCTAGACCTGGAAAATTACCAACTGAACCCTGAACCACCAGGCAGGAGGAGGTTATGTGTCGTCTGGTAACGAAACAACTGACGTCATAAGATCACGTCTAGAGAATCCCCCTTCGCCGTACTTCCTTTGATATGAAAAAGTTTCTGGAACTGTGCTACACGAAGCAGAAAGAAAGAAGCCGCGGCATCGCTTCAGGTTCAAATTTCAGGACAATTCCCCTTTTGGTATCGCCATATAATTGTAATTATGAGCCCGTCATCAATGGAAGTTGATGTATGGGCTGGGAAATGGGATTTGCCTTCTGTTGACCAGCAATGTCTACAAATTATGGTAATTTATTGTGGGCTGCATAACCTATATCTTCATGCTCTCATAACAAACATAGTGTCATTATTGAATGAAAGAATGTAATTGAGTATTATTCAATACTTCGCAGGCTTACGCGAAGTTCTGTGGAGCGCCAATCAAGGTAAACGTCACTAATAATCCTTTCTGGTCGCCCTCTGGATCTCTTCCTGTGTTTCGCAATGGGAAAGACAAAATTACTTCGTTTCAGAGCATGGTGTCATATTTGGACTCAAAGGTAACTTTACTTAACTGGTGGTCCCATTTTAAGGCATTTTTCACAATATTCATCGTATTTATTTATTTTAGAAATATTCTGCAGATCTAAAGTTGACACCTCTTCAAAAGTCTGAGTGCTTTGCCATCAACAAGCTTTTAGAAGGAAAACTCCATCCAGCTATATTATATACATGGTGAGTTATTGTCTGTAGGATTTAGATGAACATTGAGTTGAAGCAGGAACAAATTATTTACATTTAGTTTAACAGGTGGGTAGATGAGACGAACTATATTGAATTGACTAGACCATGGTATGCATCAGTTTTGCCGTTACCTTTCAACTATTACTACCCTGGTCGATATGAACGAGATGCTAAGGTCTATATTGAAACAATGTTTTTAGAGGATGAAGACCAGTCTGTTATTGAAACTCATGTAAGTTTATCATTATTTCCTTTTCTGACTAGGAGTGATAATCCTGTGCCCATGATTAAATATTTTTTCTTTCTCTCAGCTCCTTTCAGATGCTGAAAAATGTCTGACATCTTTGTCAGTCCGCCTTGGAGATGAAAACTATTTCTTTGGCAAATCTCCCACTTCTTTGGATGCAATTGTTTATTCATACCTAGCTCCGTTAGTTAAGGTTCCTTTCCAACAGTGTGCTCTGCAGAATCACCTAAAAGCTTGTCCCAATTTAATGGCATTTGTTTCAAGAATCTCAAGGGGTTATTTCCCCTTGGTGTCTGATGGTGGGATAAGAGCTTTTGTTTTATTAAATGTGACTCTTTGGGTCCCAAAAACATTTGGATTTTTAATCTGAACTTTTTCATTTTAGCAACCAAGAACATAAACTTAGAGAAAGTGAAGGAAATTGAGCTCCGAAATAAAAGATTGAGGAATGCATTTAGTTTCTTATTTGCATTGGCATCAATGACTGGATTTGCCTTGTACAATAATATTTATCAGGTAATATTTCATCATATACTGTGCTCTGCATTCCAAAAGTAGAAATTTGTAAATAAAATACATGTACACTTGCAGGACGCCAGATTAAGCAGACGATTCGCCACAAAGTGAGTACCATATGGACAATCAGCAAATAAGTTTGTTCCTTGCACATTTTCATTACCTTTTGCACCAGAACACACCAAATCACTCATGCATAATTTATAGTAATCATTTTCTGTCATGTTGATTGACTGAACTTTTTTCTTTTCAGACTAGAGAGAATAAAAGATAGGTGGCGAGGAAGCCCTGTTTCCCCAGATTTCTTTGCACCTAGTTTTGAAGAAGAATAATCTTACAAGTTAGACTGTCTCCAAATTGATCTGTGATCTTTTCACGTTCGTAGTCATATTGCTGTACTCTTTTTCCTGCACATCTTTCTGTTGTCATAACCGTGTATCAATACACATTTCTGAAAGCACAGAGTAATTCTTATAAACCTAAAATAAATAATTGAGAATCCAAAAGTTAATCAATTTGTTTTATGTTTTAAAAGGAATTCCGGTGAATGGCGGAGGCTTAGGTATATCTCGTGTTCCTAAAAGGATTTGTTCTGCTAGCCACGTGATATGTGACTTGCGATGTGCACGGTACAATCGAGGATCATTTTTCTGTACAGGTTGAAGATCTGGATACCACCCATAACTAGAAAAAAGGGGTTGAAGCCAGTCAACCAAATTAAATATTTGCATCTATAGCTAAAAATAATCTATAAACATTCTAAAAAATATTACCGTTGGTTTTCTGTAGCAGGATGTTCACTTCTATCTTTGGGCCCCTTTGTGCTTTCTGTTTCGATCATATTAACAAAATTTTGATCTGCATCATTTTTCTGCATAACATCATGGTTGGAATAAAACTTTCCAGTGATGCATTCAGCTGTTTATAAAATTAATAATGATACAAGTTACACATGGACCTCACATACTGAAAGGATATTTCTGGCCTACAATAATAAACCAAAAATACTTTAATTTGAGCGGGAAAATTGACATTAAAATAAAATTTAGTACGTGGTGAAGTGTGATAATTTGTTATCAATTTGTCAATTGTTTGGTTGTAGAGAGGGATTGTTTTTTTTTTAAATACCTTTGAGGTTGGGAACAAATTTTGTTCTGATGTAAAAGAAACGTTTTTCTCTTTCATATACCTTCTTCCATGCAAAGTACTCTGCACCTAGGTCAACTTGTTTCTTTTCTGTGGTCATTGTGGAGAAAACTCAACCAAAAATTTATGTGTATCTATAATCAAACTGTTGCCGAGTACTCAACAATTGATAGTGATGAGTGTTCTATTATTGTCTCCCAATAATACACTGAAGAAAAGATACCTCACTATAGTTTCCACCATGACTTTATTTCTTGTCAAAGAGTGCTTAGGTCCTAAACAAGGCAATTGAAGGATTTAAAAAATAGAGAGCAGTATGTACTTACAAAATGAGAGAACATGGAACAACACTCCATACAAAGGCTTAAGAGGTTTAAGTTTTGTGCAAAAGACTTTCAGATAAATTTATCTTAAGTGAATACAAGCCTGAAATAATGCAGTCACAATTGGTACCCAATATATTAGGTACAATATACAGCAGACGAAAAAAAACAATATCAGATCTCAGCACACGTTTTCAATTCTTATATAGCATTTTCACATAACATTGGTGAATAGACAAGTACAAATGTGACCAGTCTCAAGCAATGCTCAACAACAAAGCTAAAAAGCTTGCACACATGAATGTGTCCAATCTCAGTTTCTGAACACTCAACAAAATTATTGAGTTATCAATTTTCAGACTGTCTTTGCTTGATCTTCCAAAAGCGAATCCATCAAAAGGGAAGCACAGGAACTTCATGGTCCAAAGTTTATCATATTTTGAGCTGAAGACATGTACTTATGTACAAAAAACAACATACAAGTCAAAGATGAATTTTAATGTAAGATATAATATTTGTGAAGTGCAGCTGCTCTTGGGTGTTGCACTACATGCTCTAAAAGTATAAAACTGGTATTGAAACTGCAAAGCAAAAGACTAAATAATCATGCACCTAATTGTTAACTACGAACCCCCCAGTCTTCTTTGTTACATTTGATGGGATTTTAGCATGGCTACAAAAGCTGCTTACATTTACAACCTTTTCCATTTCTGTTTTCAAAATAACAAATGGCAACTTATTTTTTGACTAGAAAGAGAGAAAGCTCCAGGAGAAAGAGCAAAATAGATTTAAAGTAGATTTCAATGCCATTCAAATCAAGTGGAAGTGTTTCATAATGTTGGTGAAATTGTCACCAGATATTTATTTCCCTTGAAAGGCAAAGAAGTGAGTTGATGGCACTTCTTAAGAAATACACAACTATTTTTTAAAACCCATGGAATAGGGTAGGCTGGAACACATTTTTTTCAATTAAAGAAGAAACAATCAGATAAAAGAATAAAGAAGAAACAAATAAGAAGTAAAATAAACACAAATAGAGATTAACCAAACAAAGAAAACTATACCATATCAAACATACACACTAAGAACAGGCAATATTAATAACAATGAACTCTACAATGCATCGGTTTCAATAGCTAATACTTCTTCCTAGCGAGTTTTTAATGTTTATGCTGAGAGTAATTTTTTTTAGCATTTTCTGGAACCACAACTTTCAACACATGTCTTTTAAATGGTACTCCAAGTGTTAGTAGTAGACTACATGCAACAAAATGTCCACAAAATTCCAGATTAGAAATATATATACTTATGAAAAGCTTCTTCTAATTGAGTCAACTAACAGCAACTACACATACTCAAGAGTACCTCCAAATGTATTATGTTGACGTCACAGAGTTGGCCTGACATAAAAAGACAAATGATTGATTAACCCAAGGGAAAACACTACAATTGCTTGAAGCTTACAAGCAGAATCCTCATCACAGCTTTTGAGACCTCTTCCTTACAACATATTATCACATTTTCATCACACATTTAGTAAAGCAATTTAACTAAGATTGATCCTCTCAATGATTAGCACAAACATAGGTAAGTGCACAAAAGATAAAGAAAAAGGGAAAGGGAAAAGATTTACAGTTTTAAAAATATCCTGTATTTAAGTATAGTATTGTAACAAAACTCAAATCTTTCGGTAACTTTGATTGATTAATTTTCTGTCATAAGAGATTGCACGCCATCAAGAAAAATCAGTTGATTTAGAATAGTGGCATTTCGATTGTGCTTGACCACCATCCCTAGACGCTGGCACCAATTGCTTGAGAAAATCTATTTTCCACATGTATGTACTGTAATAGATAACAATAAATATGGCAACAATTACATTTGTACCAAGTTTACTTTAAACAGCGGATGAGCTTCCTGTAGCTTCTAGTCATTGCAAAGCTTATACCTACTCCAATCATTAGAACATTTTTACATTTAACCAATGCCTTCTATAAAAGAAAACAACTTCCAATCAGTTCGACTTCACATAATAAATGCTGTAATTGATCTCCTGGCAGAAACCGTAAGCATACATTTACTGAAGCTTCCCAATCAACAATTTTTTATAAATTTGACAAAATATTGTTGATGTTTAAATATACAAATAGTAAAATGCTCATCATCAAGAGCAGCATATCTCTTAAAAATAAAATTAGGGATAACTATTAAAATTACAACATCATAAATTTCATTCATCATCATTAATTGCAACAAGTATGTTCTCTCAAATTCATCATGCTCAGCCAAACATACTTGATCATACAAAGTGAACTGTAATATTTGCACTTCAAAAAATAAAAATATGTTACCTGCTATGACTGGATATCTGTCCTGTCTACCCTAAGATAGATTACGTACGGTAGGTCACGTCCAGAGTCCCTAGGCCGGAACAGGCCATGCCTGGATGATAGATTAACTCCAATGTTTAAACATTAGTTGTTCAAGTCACTTTATGTCCATTTCAGCTGTAAAGTAATATATGATCAAGTGCATTTTGCTGAAGTGTTTTCTTCAGAAAAGGGGAGACAAGTGGCATGCTTACAATTATTCTTAAGTTATGTTTTCCCACTAAGTTCATAAAAAGCAATAAAAATCGCTATTTTTATAAAATGGTCAATTTGAGCGTCCATCAAGATATATAATTTGCATGTAAGTGTTCAGGTAGAAATCAGTTCCCCACAGTCTCAGAAGTATGAGCTCGCAAAGAAGATATCCAAGTGATTTCACGTTTTTACACTGTATAGTTATTTAAGTCACCCTCAGACTTCAGTTTATCCAATCAGCTAAAATTATATTTAAAAAAAATTCTGGCCAATATGTTGCATCTAGCTATATTAATGCAACAGTAAAAAAACACCATAGAACCTATCAAACTAATTAGCAATACATCACAGTTTAATACGCTGCAAGTACTGAGCCACACAAGAAGGACAGGCATGCTGATAAACCACATCCTCACCATCGGACAGTACAATGCCTAGTGCTGAACCCTCGGTACGAGCTGCTGCAACTTCAGCATTGTAGTCATGCCAATTAAGCTGATGACCACATGAAAAAGCGACTATGTTGTTATTGTCTAGGGAATCCTATGGAAAGAGAAATTGTTTATCTGTTAAGCGCTTTAGGTAGTCAGAAACTTGTAAAATATGATCATATTTGGAAATTTTGACCCACATGAATAGGTTCGATATGAAGAGCTTGATCAGCGACAGCACTGTTTTTCATGTGTTCCACAATCTGGTCGATGCTGGGAGGTGTTTCAATGGAAGGCTTCCAAAAGCTCTTTTGTGCCACTAAGCTGGTTAGAACAGCATTTAGCTCAGGACAATCACCCTCTATTTAACATAAAGAGAAAGTTACATATCAAAGCCCAGATAAGTATGAATGAGAATCAATATAATTTAAAGAAAAAGAACATACTATTTTTCATCAGTGTGACCAGGGATGAGCACAGCTTTATCATAAAACTTGTTGACAAGTTCTCCATTATTTTTTCCTTACCATCAAAATCAGAGCTGGAAGAAAACATTAAGAGATAACACCCTGTCATTTATAGAAGAAATGCTTATAATAATTTCAATTAAATATTGGAAAGACATACCAAAACAGTAAGACAGCAAATGGGTATGAAAGCTCATCCCAATGCTGACTTATTAGGTCCTCAAGAATTGAACATGCCAAGCCTTCTTTGACCCAAAATGAAACAGTCTAGAGAAATGATAAATTGAGAGAGTTGACAAGTATATATTTTCTCTCCACCAAAGTTTATTTAGATTGTACAAATGAAAAAGTATCACTAACTCACCTTTCTTAATAGAAGAGAGATGACTGCTTCATCTTGATCTTCTTCCTCAACCAGACTCATGTGCAATTCAATGAGTCGGAATACTTCATGTTGGAGCCATCTTTCACTCTTGACATTCTGCTTACCTGATTGAATTGAGCTGAAATTTGGAGGCTCATCTGCCTTTTCTACTGACTCACTCATGCCATCAACCTCAAGAGGTGAACCCGATTTTGCTAGGGAAACATCCTGCTCGTCCAGGCTCACTGATGCTAAACTTGATGTTTCATCTGATGGTTGTTGATTTGATTTTGTGTGTTCTGAATCAGTCCCTTCAGACATTTCTTCATTACCACCTTGGACAGCAAAAGCGTGGATCTCAGAGTTATTGCTGGAATTATTGGTATGAGATGATCCCCCATTTTCATCTGTTAGAGTTGCTGTTGAGGATGTATGTTCCAAATAATCAACTGAAACTGCTTTTGCACATATATCTGGCTGAACTTGGCTTGCTTGGTTATCAATTATTGTCTTATCTACACTTGTGCCATCAATATTCTCATTTAAACCGGGGTAATGTTTCCAACTCAAAATAAAGGCATCCAAATGGTAACCCAATGAAGCTGGAATATCTTTGGCTAGAAGTGCTAGGCGCCCTGCAGCTTGTAAATTGTTGTGTTGCAGTGCCTGATGGTTGAAACACAAGAGTAAAAGATCCTAGGATATTTCAGTAATAATTAATAATAAACAGTAAATTATTTACTGACCTTTTGCAGCAAAGATGCATGATTGCAGTAAGGGAAAAATCGATGCAACGCCCAATGAAGAGTCAGCGAACCATAAGGTGGTTTCTCAAGTGTACTTAATTCAGTAGCCTACAAAGATCAACAAACCAACAATAAAAAAGTAATCAAGTAAAAAATCAATCCAGTGAATGAACAAGAATCTTACCCATACAGCAGCAGGTGCAGCACTTAATGTAGCACTAGAGTAAGCAGGAGTGGGACTACTAGGCGGTATTCCTAGAATTTCTTGTGGGTTTTCAACACGATTATTTGCACTGTTGGGAATTTTAATGACCCTTTTACTTGTGCTTAACATTATTGTCTTCCCCTCCAAACCTTTATTTGGTTCTTTTTGAGGCATTCGTCCAACCTAACACAGAAATGGCATAATTTTTTATTTTAGGTTTTACACTATTTCCTTACACTCTAACAACCTTCGATTTAAAAAATGTAATTAAAAATATAAATAAAGGTACCTGAGCAGTGGCATTGCTTCCCCAACCAAAGACTTGACCATCTGCATGCAGTGCTAAAGTGAAATCAGCACCACATGCAATTTGAGCAGCTCGAATATCAGGTACAAGAGTTGGAATAACAGCCTCTTTCCTACCACTGTGCCCTAACTGCCCATCAATATTCCTTCCCCATGTATAAACTCGACCTTCTTCAGTTACAAGAGAAGAATGATGACAGCCACAAGCCACCTGCACAAAAGATAATAAAAATTTCATATATTCTTAAAAATATTTTTCTAGTGAAACTAGGATGAAAAGTTACCTCTGCTATCAAGCCTTCAACCAATGAAGTATCTACTAAAACAGGTAAGAGATGAATTTGTGATGTTTCTGTATCTGCACTGACGTAAGGAACCGTAACCACTTCTGTTTGAGGAGAAGACACCACTACTTTTGTTGAGGTTTGGACTAGATCAACAGCAACTTTTGGGACTGCCTCTGCTAACAAATCAGGGATAGGAAGAACAGACTTATCAAGGCTTTCTGATCCCTTTTCATTTTGTAGAGTTGATACACCAGGAATTGAAGAGTTTTCTACAGATGGTGCATCGGTTGAGCTCAGCATTGGGAACATGGATGTAGCATTCAGTGGATCATCAAACTTTTCTTGAGGACCATTCAATCGTACATTGTTCATGGCCTTAGCAGCAAGGGAAATAACAGGATCTAATTTTTCAACTGAAGAAGCCATAACAGAACCATTTTCCACATTAGGATTTTCACAGTTATCCTCATTATTATCCTCACAATCCTTCAATGTTATTATTTGGAACTGGTCATCAGGGTAGTCATCACTCGATTCTTTTTCCTGACCACCAATTTTACTATGTGCACCAGCTATTTGTGGTACAGGTGGCCTTGCTGGTGGAGAAGGACTCAATTCTTTGTGTTCATCTTTTTGCATTTGAATTTCTAGGTGTTGTTGCTGTAGCTGTTGTTGCTGTTGTTGCTGCTGCAGTAGTTGCTGTTGCAAAAGCATTCTAGCTTTTTTTTGTGCTTGTGCTTGCATGCGCAGAACTTGTGGACTTGAACCCCAAATATACAGACGGTTAGATTTACTGATTGCTAACTGTAAAAGAAAATGAAAACGTCATTATTTTGATTATTATACAAAAAAAAAAAAAAAAATAGAGGTAAGATATCCCTTACATTGTGGAAGTATCCGGTTGCAATGGCAGTAATGCTCTCTGGTAAGTTGCACACTGGAACTGGTAAACTACTTTTGCTATTACTTCCAGTTCCCAGCTGACCGAAAACACTAGAACCACAACCAAATACTTGGCCAGAACTCAACAGGAACAAACTGTGAGCATGTCCTCCACCTATAGCACTAACAACCTAAGAGACATAAAGATAAGTAGTAATTCATTATTGTTCATATAGGTGGAAAAATTTATTTAAAAGCAGAACTACTTACCTGACCCTCAAAAGCATGTACTGCAGAAGGAAAGGAGTAATTTTCAACAGAGCCATGCCCAAGCTGACCATGGACACCCCAACCCCAAGTGAATACCCTACAAAATAAAAGAATAGTTTTATAAAGACGAAATACTTTGATCAACAAGTACATCTATTTTGGAAACAATGTATGCTTACCTTCCTGTTGAAGTAAGAGCTAATGAGTGATACTGACCAGCTGCAACTGCTACTATGCGGTAGTCTAATAAAGCTGTAATTAATCTTGGGTAGGGAGATTGAGAAATCTTTCCCAGCCCAAGTTGTCCGTAAATAGACGATCCCCAGGAGTACAACTACAAGAGAAATGGAAAAATATAAGGAAGGTTTGCAGTGTGTGTTTTACACATGCCAGTAAAAAAACAACTCAACTCACCCCATTTTCAGTTAGAGCTAAAGTATGGTTTTGACCACAAGCTACACTTAAAACACGAGTCCTAAGGGAGTTGAATGTTAGGATTGGCCGAGGCTGACTCAGGCGAGTCATACTTGGGCCAATGCCTAAAGAGCCTTGAATATTTCGCCCCCAAGTAAAAAGACCAGAGTTTCGAACCAATGCTCCATGGCCATAGCCTGCAGCTAGTTCACAAGTAACTAATGACAGCACTTCCACACCCTAAGAACACAAATTTAAAAATACAAGTTTCAAAATAGTTATTGTCTCAAGGATTTAATTTCAACTTCTGTTGAGTATTTTCTTTTACCTGAGATGGAAGTGTATCAGTCATTCGTTTGGGTAATCTGATTACACTAGAGGCAAGATCAGGTCGATACTCACAATCATGACTTTTGTGAGAAATTTGTAGGAGTATAAGTAAAAATGTCATAACAATTTCTTCCATAACTGCAACATTTTCCTGCAATAAAATATAATAATATGGGCTCCAGCAGAGAATTTAGAGAATATATGCAGATTATAATAGATTGAAATCAATGTTTGAAACTTACAGATGTTGCAGATGTTTCAATGAAGTCACTAGAATAGGAACTGATAGAAGCACTATCAAAAGATAGAGAAAGCTCTCGTTCATTACTACCTTCCCTTGAACGATTAGATCTAAAAAGTTGAAGAAGACCAGGTCGAAGGGCTGGGTCTGTTGGATCGTACAGAGTAGCTAGGCGCTAGAGAGGACAAAATTTCAAGTTTATATATCCTTTGCTCTAATATACAAAACAATATAAAATATTAAAAAGACAGTACATAGAAATCAAGTTTCTAGTTCATACCTTTAAAATATTCAGTTCTAACACACCAAGGCATGATTTCACAAAACTAGAATGAATGCGAACCAATTGAGGCCTTTGAAGAAAGGCTTCTCGAAGGCAGCCTTCACTGACACATTCCCAAAAGCCAGCTGATAAATAGAAAATAAAATGAATAAAATAGATTAAAATTTTGTCTGACCCAAGTTAGAAATATACAGGTTGAGACTCACATTGAGATATCAGAAGCAACTTCTGCTGTTTTTGTGAAGTTTCACAGTCAGTTAGAGCATGCGACATCATTTTTGCTTGGGCCTCAAGAACTTCAGGAAGAAGCCCACGGAAGCAAGCAAGCTCATTAAGAAATGACCATAAATGGTTTTGGCCAAATATGTTGACAGCCATTAGTTCGTCATAATGTTGGTTAAGTTTCAAAAATTTTCTAATGATGACAAAAAGTTATATTTATTAGAATGGTAAACTTGCAGGTTTTGGTAAAAGATTTTGCTTACAGAATTGTAAAACAAAATACTTACAAAAATCCATTAAATATATCAGTTGACTGGGTAGCAAGGTATTGTTGGGCTTGACAAAGAACGGCAAGATTTGAAAGCTGACAGCGTTCAAGGGGATTAGCCTCCTGAGAACTGTTCAATGCTCCTTCTTGTAGGGCAATTAATAATTGGGAAGAGTGTCCTCCAGCAGCAAGTTTCACAATCCACTTAATTTGTCGGCACTAAATCAGTTGGAAACAAAACATTATGAGATTTACATGTTACATTTCTTATCACTCAAGGGCTTCAGTTAATTTGAAATTAAAACCACATCAACATACCCTTGCTAATTTGAAGAGTTCAATCGCTTTGATGTAATTTCCTTTGTAAAGCTGGATATCACCAGCTAGCTCAAGGAGTTTCTGGAGGTCAAGGCCAAACATACGGGATAGGGACTCAGCACACAGTAACTGCCCTGCCTTATCTGGTTCAACACCTTTAATGGTAAAACAAAAAAAAAAACAAAAAAAAAAAAAAAAAAATTGTCAAATTATTTGTGGTCAATATTCAACTCGAGATTGTAAATTTAAAGTCAGTTTACTAACCGGCCAAAAGATGATTTAAAACCTTTTTCACTGGGCATTGTTTTAGAACTACATGATAGACGCCATGACTAGTCACTAAAATGCATGTGTCCACCGGTTGCCCTCTTAACTTTTCTATTTCCTGTTCTAGCCATTGCTCATGAGATTTTGGAGCTTCTGTCGCAGATTTAGCAGTTGTATTCTGAAGAAATTATATTAAAAAAATATTTCAATGTTTAGCCAGCAAATAAAGGTATGAAAAGGGCACTGCAAACTTAAAATTCTCACCTCAGTTTGTAAATGTTTTGAGGATTTAACACTAGAACCACTTGCAGAAACAACAGGAATTGTACTGCTGTGGAAGACTCTTGAATTAGAAACTTTGTAAAGTGCGACGATTCTTTCTTCACCGGGAAATTCAAACAAATCAACTACTGATTCTGGACTTTGCTCCTAAAATTGAAAAATGAATCTTGATTATTCACATTCCTAAATCAGGCAAAACTCATACAAATTCCCAAGCAAATAGATGCAAAATGCTCTCACCAAATCATCATGCCTGCGACACTCAGACAGTTTACTTGATACAACAGCAAAGCGCTTTGCTGTTGTGTCAGTCAAATAAAGAAAACGTTCGGTAACTAACATATCTCGACATGGGAATAACAATTTGTGACCATAAGCAGGTGGCTGCTCCAAATCTTCGATCTTATACATCTGAAAAAAAAATATTACGTTTGTATCTGTTATGAAAATTGAACCAGTGCTAGTGTGGGAAAATGTTACTTACTGAAACAAAGCTTGATTGTGCATGATAAGCAGAAAGAACCTGTCGACCCCGGAGTGTTTGGGGCCACAAAAACGCATTTACTATCCACCTTAAATTTTCCACCTGGGGAACAATGTTAGCACTGGGAGTTGAAGAAGCATCCGAGCTCCGAGCAGAACCGTCACTACTGCTGCTACCTGCAGGATAATAATAAAATAATGAACTTGAACTATTATGAAATAATGTGCACACCCCTATAAGTAACTTTTACAGAGATAATTATTGTATCCATTAACTTAAGTAGATGAAATATAGGAAAGCATCTAGCAAACACACACACCTCTCCTACTTGTCACATTTGAGTTAGTACTAAGACTAGTAGTTGTTGTTTTTGATCTGGTTTCAGCCAGCTTTTGGCGAATGATTGCTATCTTCTCAACTGACATTTGCTTGAGTCCTTGTAGCCTCGACCGAGTAGAAGGTGCTGGGGAAAGGCCATTTATCTCATCCCTACAAGAGGAAAAAATTTCATGAAACACAAGATTAAAATAAAAATGTAATTTACTCCTTTGATATGATTATTAGATCAAAGACAAACCTTAAAAGTATTCTGTTAGTGCTCTTTCCAGGTTCTTCAGGCCAAAACCAGCTACCATCTCTATCTTCTAAAAGAACACGCCATTGTTGTCTATCTTCACATGTCATCTAAAAATTATATTTTTTTGTTAATTTGAGTACAATAAAAATTCAGTGAAAAAATTAGAATTCTCTTACTAAGAGGTAAGCTGAATCGGAGTTATCATGGCAAACATGAAGCATGGACAATGAGCCTGATATTTTTCTTGTTCCTAGGCGTTGGCCAGTATTCAGGTTTATCAATGCAATGTCTCCTGACTCTGTGCCAACTAATCCCATCTGTCACAGAAAAAAATATTATAAAATCAATTTGTAATTAGTTCACTTGAAATTGTTATACTAAAACAACATGACATAAATACCTGATGACCTAGAGCAGTACTCTGCCACCATACACAGCATGTTGGGGGAGATGTTGTAACGGCTGGGAAGGAAGTTAGATCTAATGGGTTCCAGCTTTGATCACAAACTGATTTGGGATCCACAAGGGATAAGGCAGGAACTATATGTAAAAATCCATCCCAACCTTTTGAAGAAATAAAAATGATATAGAAAGAAAAAAGGAATATTAATAGAAATAATTAAGAGAAAATACTGACCAGTAATTAAAAGCCAGGAACCAGCTGGATGGAATGCTAAGGATGTAATTCTCTTTTCTCTTTCTAAGAACCATGGAACCCTTCTCAATACTGCAGGTGCTTCCCCATTGATATAGTATAAAATAAGATCACCATTCCTGCAAAGATGCAATAACAATTTTGAACAACTTTCTCTACAGCTGGCACAAGCAAAGATTAAGTTTCCTCTAGACGGTGTTGTAGGAAAATAAAAATACATACTGTGTTACCAAAGCTATAATTTGTCGATTGTTTGCTTGAGAGCGTGCACTAAGTTGAATGTTTTCAGCAGATAGGACATGTTGGAGTTGGAAGACCTGCTGTCCTTCGTTCGCCCCCATTGCATGGGGCTGTCTAGAAAAATAAATGTAGTTTGCTCAAGAAAAACATTATTGTCAGTAAATTCAGATGTATTTAAGAACATGTGTTGGTTATGTAATAAGATTGAAATTTAGAGTAATTTATGATGATAGGAAGTGGTCAGAGGTTCAACAATATAGAGAGATATTAAGAATTCACAAACCCATATAGTGGTAGAACTAAACAGCAAGGTGGAATTGAGTAGGAACAAACTCGGAACACATTTGTTGTGAAAACATAATACCATCTCAAGGATACAGATGATTGACACTTTCAAGGTTGGCAATAAATTATAAAGGTAAATGAGCTAGTTTTAACAAAACTTTGTGATTCAATACAAGTCAACAAAATTATTTAAAAACAAATAAGGGCATTGAATTAACAATCACATAGCAGACAACACTCTAAATTAAACACATAACCTATACCACCCATACTTTTACTTGGAAATCCCGATAGCGTAAACAATCTGCATAACAATACCACTCTTAAATTGAGAAAATGTCTCTTCGCACATTACCTTTTAGCTTAGCCACGATAATTCCTCGACAGTATATTTTCCAGCTTTGACTTGAATTGCTTTTAGAAGAGCAGACATCGTTTGTCTAAAATTATCGTGGTGGCGCTCTCTACCGCAGAAAGCCTGGACGAACTGACTCCAGGCAGGAAACCTTCAATACGCACCCGCAGGCAAAAAGCAGGCGGTCGGCGGCGGGTGTTGTCGTTGAACACTGTTTATTGTCATTGATGTGTGTTTATATTTTGAATGTCTCCATGATGTTATCATATGTTTAATGACCATACACGCAATGATCGCCAATGGCCTCCCGTAACAAGTTCGTAGAAACGCAAAACCCATAAAATCGTCGTTTCTTGACTGTCACAAGGTTAGGATAGTTTTTGTTTATGGATGTTTTCTGGCATTCACATTCTACAATGCTCACCGTTCACTTCTGTTTGAAAAAGCTAGCCATGAAATTTATCATTTTAATATTTTATTGTTTCTGTAATGACACATTTTCATCCATATACTCAGCTGTAACTGTGTCAGTCAAATATGATATTGGAAATTTTCACGGTAATTGCGGTTTCAGGAATCTGTCAGCATGGAACGAGGAAAAGGGATGTCTGGTCGGGGCGGCAAAGGCAAACCTAATTACAACTACCCTGTTAACGTGTTTGCTCTTGGCTCTAAAGCACCATCAAGAGTAGATTCAGGAGACTCCAAGCGCCCATCTCAACCGCATCCTAAACCTGGATCTAGTCATGGTTTGCCAGGTATAGAAATGAATTATTATAACCTACAACTATAGTTGTTTCCTAAATTTAATGTGTGAAATTATTCCAGGACCTACTGACAGGAAAAGAGAAGCTGCACCTTCTAGTATGTCCATGTTGGCAAAAAAACCCAAAATAGTTCCAAGCGTTGGTGCAATTCATAGAGGTGGTGCTGGCCCTGGTCCTTCAGTTAGTGCTCCTCTGATTCCGGGAGCTGATGTGTGGGAAACAATCGCCATTGATACAGAAGCTTCTGAACTTGTAGCAGAAGTCCTAAAATCTAATGATTTAGGACAAACAGATAAAGTGGTATGTTCATCTATTCAATTTTATTTGAAGTAAATTTATTTATTTATAGTTTCGTTTTTGTTTTCAAGGTTGGACAGATATGTGGTGCCTTAAGGGCAATCAAAATTCAAAGGGGAAAACTGGATCCTTGCCTCTATTTGAGTCTACTTTACTTGGGAAAAATTCGTCCATCACTAATGGCTATTGAACCAGTACCACAAGCATTGTGCTCACTGTTACGGAGAGATGTTACCTTAGGAATGAAAAACAAAAGCAACCCTTTAGTTCCCATTTTAGTGACAGGGCTGTTAATGCGAGCATTCAATGAGAATAAGCATTGGCCTGACACCTTTGTAAAAGTGAGTTCTTGACTTTTACTATAAAATAGTTAATTTGATTAATGCCTAACTTAAACATTATGTTCTAGCTTTACATTGAAGATGCAGTGAATGAGCGGGTGTGGGTTGATATGGAGGAATGCAAAGGATTTGTAGATAATGTTGTCACAGCATTCAATACCAAACACCCAACTAAATCTCAGCTGCCTCCAGATTTGGGTCTAGTTCCACCTAATGTAGCTGGATTGAGCAGTACATGTTCATCTCCCTCTTCGGCTATGGGTGATGATGATGACATAAAGGATATAAAAGAAGAGCTTGGTTTGAACATCACCGACAACAAGCATGAATTTCCTGTCATGCCAAGATACAATGGCTCGTATGATGTTGTGGAATCTATTGTCACAGAAGCTATCAAAGAACAATTACTTCGACGCCAACCTCCAGAAAACACCACTAGAAATTTTTTGAGAATGTTATCTGCAACTTGTGGTCTTGTGGAAGTTAGACTTAATGCAACACAGCGGCTTGAAATGTGGCTCCAGAATCCTAAGTTGACAAGACCAGCTCAAGAGCTGCTTATGTATGTTTGTGTTAATTGCAGCACTCATACTCAACGTGATATTGAAGTCATGAGTAATATCATAAAGATAAGGCTAAAGACCAAAGCACTCATAAATTTTTATCTGTCAAGCATTAAAGAACTTGTTAATGCAAACCCTGAGAATTTAAGTTCTCTCATGAAGCACACTGTCTACAATGAATTATCAAATGCTCGTAATTCAAATAACATGGCTGTAATCACAACAATGTTTCAAATCTCCCCAGAAAATGCTCCCATTTTATTAGCGCATGTACTTCAGGAAATTCTTATGAATAGGGAGGACTTCCACCGAGCTCTAAGAGGATTCTTACGTGAACTAACTCGTAATTTAAGACACGATTTAGATATCAATTCATTTTGTCGAGCCCTTATGTCTGACGCTCCTGAGCACAAAACCACTTTCCGAGACTTTGACTTTAAGGAACGCATGTATGTGGTCATTGTAGATCTTGTTTGTCTGTGTGTTTTTCTTGCAATCTCGCCATCTGTTAAAGAGGCGGCTAGCCATGTAGCCAAGGGTGACAAAAAAGACATAGGAATCTATCAGGCAAGCTATAGCATTGGTGATTTTTAAATCAATCAATCTTTCTTTATGTAATTCATATCTCATGAACTATTCTTCTGTCTTTGCTGTTAACAGAACTTCCAAATGACTATTGCAAAAATTCAGCAGGATGCAATGTGGTGGCATCATGAAATTGTGCTTCGTTTGTACAGACCAACTCAACTTGAATATGTTCTTGGTATTCACAAGGTACTGTATGAATAATTTTTAAAACTTTGTGGTCATTGTTGTGTGGAGAAAGTTATGAACGACATGTCTTTGGTCTAGATCATGTTTATGGGTCAAGCTGAACACTATTATAAAGTTGACAACTGGCCTCAAGAAGCTGATCGCCTTAGCCTGCTACGTTTGGCATCTGAAATTCCCCTTCTTCAACACACATTGATGCGAATCCTTTTAATAGGTCTCTCTAAGGTAATGAAGAAAAAGGGCATATGAAGGATGTGTATATGTAATATGTTGAGCTACCTTCAGTATTATACAGTCTAATACTTGTCTCTTCACAATATTATAGGATCATCCAATTAGTCCTCAAGAGACAATGGATCTATCAGATCAATTGCTGAAAAGAGCCTCAGGTCTTAGCTCTGAAGGAAGCAATATGCTTGAGGCTAATAAGGTGGAAATAATTGATCTGATTTTCAACCTGAGCACTTATCATTACCCAGAAAATATAATTTTGCCAAAAGGGTATTAATATTATTTAATATGCCTTTCTCAGTTCTTGGCCTTCTTGCTCATCATACTGAAACTGATTTATTATTTATTTCATTTTTAAAGGTACACACCTCCTCAACTAGCCATTTCTAATGTTTATTGGAAGGCTTGGATTATGTTATTATTACTTGCCACACACAACCCTACAACTTTTGGAAGAGTTGCATGGGAGAAGTACCCTACTCTAAGGGCATTTATGGAAATGTGTATTACTAAGTCAGTATTTCTTCACTTATGTTTTACATGTCATTGGGTTGAAAATTTGTGCAGTTTCATTTTATTTTTCGTTTTCTGCTCCCTCAGTCATTTTGTTTATCCTCCTCCTTCCTTGGGTGAACATGGAGATGAACTTAGAGCAAGAGAATTCCAGCTTGTCCAATTGGAAAAGCAGCAAATTTTAGAATTTGAGTCCCATCTTGCCGCTCAGTCAACCAAAGTTACTATCACTGAGCACACTAGTCTACTCCTATCACAAGTTCGTGTCAGAAAAATAATATATGAAATGCCTCTCTATTGCGGTGTCATCTGATGTGTTATTAATTATCTATGTACTTATCTATTATCAGCTTATCACGATGGACCCGTCCGGTCATCCGCGAAGGCCTCCTCAATTAGTCTTGGATCAGCTGCGCTCTCTCAATGAATCTCACCGGATGGGCCACCGTCTGTGTCGCTGCCGAAGTCCAGACTTCTTAGTTGACATTATACAAAGACAAGGTGCCTCTCATTCCATGCCATGGTTGGCTGATTTGGTTGAGAGTTCTGAGGGCGCCTTGAGGTAATTTAACTGACACTTGCTTGCTTTCAATTTTTTTTCCCTCATTGTAATTCTTTCCTTTCTCTCTTTTTTTCTTTTTCTTTTTTTGTTTCTACTATACAGCCACCTTCCAGTGCAATGCTTGTGTGAGTTTCTTTTAAGTTCAACAGTCGACAAACAAAACAAACAGCAGCAACTTATTAGCCATTTAAGGTCTGTACTAATGGATCCAAACCAGGATCCAAATGCCCCTTGTGAAGTTTTGGAATATTTTTTGCGTCGTCTGCATTCCATGCAGTCAGCTAGCCGCCTGCAGGCTATCAAGGTATGAGATTTTTTTCAAATCTTAATTATTTTTTTTGTTTGTGTTAGTGAGTGTTTAATCCAAGGTATGTCTTTTTCTTTTTTTTAAACTAAAGGGATTGCAACTTGTTATGTCACCTTTAGAAGATGAGGCATTAGTAATGGATGTTGATGGGATAGATCGAGAACATTCATGGCTGTTACGTCATTTGCCTCAGATACCTCATTTTGAGTTAGCTCGACCGCAGGTTGTTCAAGCTCTACGTGCAGCATGCCAAGTGGAAAATGAAACCATTCTTGTTGGAGCTTACATTCATTTCCTATCTCAGTACGCTATAGATGACAGCCTACCATTAATGACAGATTTAACTCTTGATATGGCAACATTAATTGTTGAAAGATGCACCATAATGTCTGCATTAGTTCCTTTTAAAGGGTCACGTAATAATGAGACCCTAATAAATTTAATGAAAATATTCCATAAGTATCTTGCAAAGGCAAGGGAACCAAGAAGAGAACCACCAGCCGCATGGTCAGAGAGCCAAGATATCTTAGTAACTTGGAGCAATGGTGTTGAATCTACAATGCACATCCTTGTAGTCCATGCAATGGTGATTTTATTATCATTTGGACCATGCAGTGACAGATCCACTTTTGATGAGCTCTTAGAAGCTTGGTTTCCCAAGAATGGCCAGTACCCAAAGGCATACCTTATTGATACATCAGAAGAAGCTCTTTTGTATCCAGATTGGCTAAAGCTTAGAATGATTCGGTCAGAAGTCGAAGTTCTTGTTGAAGCTGCTCTTGGTGACTTAGAACCAAGGGATCTAGTTCTTTTCATTCAGTCATTTGGTATTCCTGTGGAATCAATGAGCAAGCTGCTTGCTGCTTTGGACTCATGTGTTCTTCTTGATGACGCTGCAGTTGCAACAGCAGTTATAGATAAAGTATATATGGCACAGCTTGTTGCTGTGCAGCGACAAAGAGGTGCGACTGCTGGTCACATGTTTGTTCAAGTTCTTCAGTTACATGAGCCTGTGTTACCAGGTAAGTCTCAAGATTTTTTTGGTAACTTCTGTATTATTACTGTATTGTTATTTGCACTTTATCAAAATGTTTTATCGGCAGTGGCCTTAGAACCTCCAACCACAAGTCGTCAGAATATTTTTCCTATTGGATCACCAGTTGCAGTTGGGCGTCAGCTATTGCAGCCACAGGACGTTCGTTCCCGCTTAGATGAAATCTTTTTGGCACAAGTTGATCGCTCCGTGAAAGTTTCTTCGTGCAAATTGTTGCAGTTGGTATGTTCACTGCACAAACAAACAATATCTCAAACTAGCTATGTGATCACACAGCTACTAATTAATTGTTTGGTCCAATCAATCAATCAATCAATTTCTTTTTTATTTCAGACTCTTGCTGTTGAACTTGAGCAAAGCCCAGCTGAAGGCAGAGTTTTGGCAGCTACTGCTGAATACTTTCATTCAGCATTTGCTTCAACTGTGGCAACATATCTGATATCTTCCCTGTTTGCAGCACCTCAATTATCTTGTCCTCTCTTTCGTATCATAACGGCCAACAAGGTATTTTGATTGACCCAGTAATTGATTTGTCACTAGCTTCACTATGTATGTACTTAAGGGATGCTAATTATGAGACCATATTTATTACAGAATGTTGCTGACTATCCTCCAGCTATTCTGCAGCAGTTTTTACATATTGCTAAAGCTATGCTGCAAAATGAATTACCTCCAAAATCTCCATTAACAGCTATTCTAAAGCATTTTGTTCAAAAATATGACAATGGAGTGTCCAATGTTGTTGTACCTTTAGGTGCTAACAAATCTGTTGTGAAAAAAGAATGCCAGACAACAAAAGATATTGTACAGTCTGTCACATGCGCTCTCATTTCCAAATCACCATCAGATTCTATAAACACGGGCTTACTTATAGACAAACTAGTGTCCATGGAACCAGAGCTTATAGGATCTTGTCCCAAGCTTCAGGTAGGTTTGGTTGAATTATACAGCCTTTTGTTGGAATTAGAGAGTTTCAGAGTAGTGATGATATTGTTTTCCAGTTGCAACTTTTGTTTGGACGTTCAACAACAACAATGTCCTGCCGTCCCTACCTATTGACACTTCTCATTCACAGAGCTAGTTGGGCTACATTACATAGAGTGGTTAAGCATCTGCTTTCATCTGCTGAGCCTGAGTGAGTAATTAAAAGATTTTCATCTTGGAGTATACTTTTTGCAAATATGTTTAGGAAAAATAATATTTTATTTTGCAACTTTATTGAACTATGTTTCACTTCGCCAGGTATGAGCCTACAGCTGTTTTAGATTTCCTCTGGGCTCTTACAAGTAACCCTAAGCTATGGCAAGGGAGAGAAAAGAATACTCCCAAACACGCCATACCGGAGAATGTACTTTGTCTTTCTGTCATTCAGGTTAGTGAAAAACTTGTTCAGTGAAAATACAGTGTGCTCCAGAATTTTTAAAAATAAATCCGTTAATGCAATCCATTTTTCAGCTACAAAGTGTTGTCACTTACATTGTTGAAGAGGCTGCCCAAGACAGTGGCGATTCTCTTGAATCTCGCCTCCCTTTGCTTCTTCAGTGCACTGAGGAGAATGTAGAACTTGTTGCCCGAATTGTAAAACATTTACTGAATATTGCCACAAATGATGCATTCAAAGGGTAAATTTAATCTATTGATCAGTACACACAGTGTTACTAATTTGTTATTTACCTATTGTCTTGTAATTTTAACTTATTCCTGGTTATTTTAGTGTCAAATCGGACATGGCACATCAGTTCCTCCTGAGATTATACTTTAAAATACCAGGTCTGATCAAATACCTTGTGGATATTGAGACAGACAAATTCCTTGAGAAAGCTTCAGCTACAGGTAAAGTAAATTTATGCTGAGGCAAAGCATTTCAGTATAGTGAAGTATCAACCATTGTTACTCCTTCTTCCTACAGAAAATGCAACCAGTGTCTTAGATCGTATGTCCCACCTACTCCTAACTGCACTTGCTGCCACTCCCATGGGAAAAGAAGCACCTCGTAGGTCTCAAGAGTTTGAGCTTGCTGCCCGCAAAATGGCCTCAGTTCATCCTGCTCTAGTGCTTAGGCAACTACCCATGGTAGCATCCTCTTTACGAGGACGCGCTCTTCTGGACTACCATGTTTTCCGAAATAGAAATCATCTGGCCTATTTTCAACACATTTTGGGTATTCTTGAGTTGCTCCAACCATATCTATTTCATAGGCAGCATTCATGTGCCCTACATGACACTCTTGATTCCTATTTCTCTCTTTTTCGGGTAAGTATTTTCTCAATAATTCTTCTGTATCACTGCCACTTTGCCATCTACCCTCTCATACTATTTTTGTTGTAGAACTATGGAATGACTAAAGATATCAGCCAGATATTAAATAGAACTATTACTCTAATGTTGGCATATGTCTCTCATGATGCTACCCTAGCTGTAAGGTACCTTCAAACTCATGCCAATCTACTAAGGTATGAATACATTTTTTTTTCCTTCAAATACCAAATAATGCACAAACTTGGTAATCAACTGTTATTTTCCCAAATTCCTTTCAGGGAGTTGCAGCACAGACAGCCTCAGTTGAGTAGTTTGTGTGTTCTAATATCAGGAGTTTCAATGCCTCGAGAATCTATTGAGGAATCAAGTATTGATGGGGGTGAAAAGGAGTCTGACGGCGAGGTATTAGTTCCCGTGGCAGCTCCTCCTATACAACAGGAAGTGGACTGGAGACCATTACTTCAACGTCTTGAGCAGGCTGAGGGGGAGGGTAAGTCAAAGCTACACCTCACATTGATTACTTGATTCGTTATAAACAACAAAGTAATGAATATTTAATTTAACTCAACTTTATGTGACTTAAATTTTTAGAAGTCACTTCAGCTCTACAAGATGTAGAAAGCGCATCTTACCGCCAACCTGGAATTTTGAGAAATTTTGTGGAGCCAATCGGTGCTCTTCTATTATCTCCCTCCAGTATAATAAGAAATCTATCACATACCCTATTGGCAAGATTCTGGAAGCATGATCCATCAGCTGCTGCTGGGGGATCAGCCTTACGTCTCATCTCTAAATGTTTAGACAGTAATCAACCTGAAGTAGTACAAACAGCCATGGACCGTCTGCCAGATGTTGTCCTGTCTATTCAAGGTATCCAGAAACAATTATTTGTTATTGAAAAAGTAGCGTAGTGCTGTGATACACAACTTTTTGGTGTATGCAGTCGAAAGAAAGTACTTACATACTGATTGTTTTCGTTCTTTTCCAGAGGATGCTGTTCCCCTCCTCCAGAAAGTTTTTGCCCTGGGTATGTGCTCAAACATTAACACTATGCAGTACTTGTCGAAGGCCTTAAGCCTTCTAAATATCCAGTCAGGGTCATGACAAAAAATAGTCAGACCTTGTGTTTGTCCTGCACTGTCTATCGAGCTAGGATAAATAATATTTTGTTTTGCTGTTCATTATTGTATATATGTACATTTTAGATGTCTACATAGTTATTTCAAATAAATGGTCCTATTTTGACTTGGGCTTGGCCTTCCCCTTGCCTTTGCCCTTGCCCTTCTTCTTGGCCGCCTTGGCGAGCCGCTTGCGCATCCTGTAGCCGCGCCACGCCCGCTGGATCACTTTGGCAGCGTGCTTGCTCGCCAACGAGAAGATGACCTCATCCTCTTCCTCCTTCTCGTAACGCAGCTTCTCGGCCAGCAGCCGCTGATACTCCTCCTCTTGGTCTGACATCCGCTCCTGTGAGGGCGAAAGTAGGAGACATCAGCGGGTGAGCGAAGGACTATATTTTAATTTCCTACAACTCACCGTCAGCTCCGCCATTTGCTTCACTTCACTCTCGTATTCGGCCGTCAACTCTTCGTGCTCTTGGAATTTTTCACCCACGTCGGCGTCGAACTTCTGGAGCCACGTGAGCAGTAGGGTTTCCATCTTGTGCCTCTTGACGCGGAGCTCTTTCTCCTCGGCCAGGTGCGCCGCCAGGGTTGCCGCCATCTTGTCGCTGGCCGAGGTGAGCTCCGCCTTGAGGTTCTCCTGACGGTACTCGCTGTTGCGCCACTCCAGGACCATGGCGCGCTCCGACTTGTCCCTGCCGAGGGCGAGAGGAGGCAGTCAGCAACCACTCACCACCCGCAGCACCCCAAGAAGACCGCCCGCCACTTACACGATGAGCTTCACTTCATCCTGGCACTGACGCCGCACGAGGTTCACGTTGTGCCGGAGGAGAGCCACGCTCCTGGCGTTGTCCGCTACCTGGCCGCCGAGCTGCTCGGCTTGCTGGCAGATCTGGTCCTCCAGGCGCGCGCGAGCCGCGTCCAGCTGACGGCCGCCGCGCCACGCCGCGCACAGCTCGGCCTCGCGGGCGCGTTCCGACTCCGGGGACCGTGCCAGGCGCTGGGCTGCCACGCGGCGCAGGCGGACCAGGTACTCCAAGAACACGGAGCCCGTCGAGGACACCTGTCGGGCACCACTGCCGGGGTCAGGAGTCACGGGGGAGGGTCAAGGTTCGTCGGGGGTGTCCGTCAGTGCACTCACGTACGAGGGGCAGCAGCCGCGTCCTGACCATGTCCCGCACCTCGGCGTTGTCCCAGAGCGTCTTTAGCGCGCGGCTCAGCTCGGGGTCCTGGTGAGCCTGCGGGCCGCCCCCAAGGGCTCCGGACCTCAGCACCTGCCCGGCGGCAGAGGCCCAGCGCTCCCCGCGGCCCGGCGCCAGGCCCTGGCTGCCCTGGCCCTGCAGCGAGGACCGGCCGCTGGACCCGGCGTGGTAGCTGGCCATGGTGGAGGAGGGTGGGTCCCCGGCGAAGCTGCCCCGCCGGCTGTACCGCGAGCACGCGCCCACCACGGCGGCCAGGTCCTCGGGGGGCAGCACGGGGCGAAGGAGCGTGGCGTCGTGGCGCAGCAGCAGCGGCAGGCAGAGCTGTGGGCAAACGCGCAGGTGAGCGGTGGCGCTGAGGCGCTGCGGCGCTGCGCCTAGCGCCTGGCGGCGGGGAGCTCGACAAAGCCGCAGCGC